GGCCCAACCCCCCAATCGGCCCTACCCTGAGCGTGACTGAGGGTGGCATTGCAACCTCCCGATCCGCCCTGCTCTGTGCATGACGGGGCGGCGCCCCAACTCCCCAATCGGCCCTGCTCTGAGCCTGACCAGGGGCTGCACTTAGGGATTGGGCCTGCCCTCTGCCACCTGGGAGCAGGCCTAAGCCAGCAGGTCGTTATCTCCCGAGGGGTCCCAGACTGCGAGAGGGCACAGGCCGGGCTGGGGGACCCCCCTCCCCCCGCCCCCCGAGTGCACAAATTTTTGTGCACCGGGCCTCTAGTATTATCATAAACTTAGTGGTTTTAAAAAACAGAAATGTATTCTCTTACAGCCTGGAGGCCAGGAGTCTGAAATCCGTGTCACTGGGCTGACAATAAGGTTTTGGCAGGGTCATGCCTTCTCCAGTGGCTCTGGGGGAGAAACCATTCCTTGCCTCTTCCAGCTTCTGGTGGCTGCCAGCATTCCTTAGTTTGTGACTCCATCACTCCAATATCTGCCTCTGTGGTTACGTTGCCTTGTCTTCTGTCTGTGTCAGATTTCCCTTTGATTCTTTCTTAAAAGGCCAATTGTGATTTAGGCCTCGCCTGAATAATCCAGGCCAGTGATGGCGAACCTATGTCAGAGGTGACACGCGAACTCATTTTTTTGGGTTGATTTTTCTTTGTTAAATGGCATTTAAATATATAAAATAAATATCAAAAATATACATCTTTGTTTTACTATGGTTGCAAAGATCAAAAAATTTCTATATGTGACACGGCACCAGAGTTAAGTTACGGTTTTCAAAATGCTGACACGACGAGCTCAAAAGGTTCGCCATCACTGAATTCTAGGCTAATCTCCCCATCTCAAAATCATGAATTTAACCGTAACTGCAGACACCTTTTCCCATATAAAATAACATTTACAGGCTCCAGGGATTAGGGCCTGATATCTTTGAGGACCATTTTCAGTGTTTATTTTCCTAAATTGTTAATTATTTTTGTAGGGTGTTCACCTGTCTTCAAATATTATGCTTATCTCACCCCACTACAGTGATTATTCTAAGTGGGGAGGTGCAATTTTCTGGGCACTGGGAGAAATTTTCTTCTTGATTCCAGCAAAATGTTGCTCTGCCTTGCTTCTTTGCTCCCACTATTTCTAAAGACTGTCTCTCTCGGGGGCAGACACCTCTGTTGGCTGTAATTCGTGCAATGGGATAATGCTGTGAGGGTTAAACCACCTTGTTAGGTCATCAACAATACCCCAGAGCAGGGGTCCTCAAACTTCTTAAACAGGGGGCCAGTTCACTGTCCCTTAGACCGTTGGAGGGCTGGACTATAGTTTAAAAAAAAACTATGAACAAATTCCTATGCACACTGCACATATCTTATTTTGAAGTAAAAAAACAAAATGGGAACAAATACAATATTTGTATTTGCATGTGGCCCACGGGCCGTAGTTTGAGGACCCCTGCCCCAGAGAGTGGGTATCATAGTTACCCCCAAGCACCCTTATTTTTTTAGCATCTGGTAACTCTAAATTTGGAATATCCAGAAGTTACACCTACCTATTTCAGTAGCCGTTCCTGACTGAGTTTAGTTCGGTTTCTTCCTCTAATCTGATCCCATCTGCTTTCTGGTTTTCAGGGTTCCTTATAATTTCTGGACCACAGAGTAAACTTTTCTTGTTTTCCAACATTTTTACAGGTGTTTTTTTTTTTCCTAAAAGTTATTTTTGGATATTTATTTTCCCCCAAAGATCTGAGAAACACGTGGGAGGCTGGTGAGTGTATGCCATATGTACCCTTGGTTCAAAGTCCAATCAATCTTTTAAATCACATTTAATTTCCTCACATGATTGCCATCTTATATTTACTTGTGCTTACCAAGTTGTATGGCTGAATCTTCCCTAAGTGGCTCACATTTAAAAAGTATTTTACTAAATAACTAGATCCTACAAAGTTCTAAAAACTTAAATTATTCTCATCTTCTGAAGCCTTTTTATTATATAGTATATAATATACATTATATAACAGGCCATTTTATCTCATTATAGTCAGATGAATAGTTAAAAACTATATACAGGGTGGGAGAAAATTTAGGCTTACAGTTGTGAGTACACGAAACACAGAGTTTATTCTTGTATTATTTATTATTATATTATTTTCCATATGAACAACTGTAAACCTGCTTCTGCCCCACCCTGTACATATGTAGTAGTGGGACTATGAAAAATCACATGATTGAGGAAAGATTCTTACTTGTGATAGGCTAAGATATTATTCTAAAGAACTGCTCCTAAGTTGAAAAAATAATATTCTACTTTTTTCCAAGATTGGTTAAACATGTTTAAAAAAATAATTTTTAAGTAGTTGTGCTATACCAGGGAACAAAAAGATGAAAGGCTTCTTATAGAGCTAAATGCTTTAAGAGAAAACAAAAACTGCTGTGTACAGATCTATTTTTAGAATTAAGAAAACAGCATTAATTTAAGATTGGATCATTCTTAGGTTAACTACCACCACATGTGGCAGATGTTTGCTCTTAAAGAAATGCCAACTAAATATATAGGGAGTAATTCAAATTTAACATTTATAATTAAACTTGAACCTCATTCCAAATCTTCTCAAGTCAGCAATTATAAACTAAATAAACCTTGTTTATTTAGAGGCATAACTGGAATAGTAATTGATACCCTAAGGATATTAAAGAATTAATGCAATTTTAGATAAACACTAAAAGCACCAGCGCAGTAGTTAGGGCTCCTGAGTCCTATAATTCTATTTACTGGGGTGGCTCTGGAACCCAGTTTCATTATGTACAACATGAAACAGTTGCATTCGCTATCTCTAAGGCACTTCTCACTTTTTTTCATGTCCTGGGTAATATCGAAAATGGCAACACATGTAACATCCGGAGATTTACCTGGAATAAATGGAGGTTGTTACTCAAAGCTGGCGTTGACCATCTTGCTGCTTAGAGTTGTGGGATGGGTGTCCCAGGGCACCTGTATTCCATCTGTGGCATAGCATTATGTCTTGGCCCACAGTCTGGCAAACCGTGACCTCGCTACTCTGTTTGTGCTGTACACACTAGTTGTATTGGCACTTCTCGGAGCTTGTTAAGAATGAGAACCTTGCCTGGCCGGTGTGGCTCAGTGGTTGAGTATTGACCTATGAACCAGGAGGTCACAGTTTCATTCTGGGTCAGGGTACCTGTCTGGGTTGCGGGCCCAATCCCTGGTGTGGGGTGTGCAGGAGGCACCGATCAGTGCTTCTCTCTCATCATTGATGTTTCTATTTCTCTCTCCCTCTCCTTTCCTCTCTGAAATCAATACAAATATATATTTTTTTAAAATGCAGAATCTTTGGCTCCACCCATACCAACTAAATCAGAAGCTGTGTTTAAGGATCCCCTAGATCAGCGGTTCTCAACCTGTGGGTCACGACCCCTTTGGGGGTCGAACGACCCTTTCACAGGGGTCACCTAAGACCATTGGAAAACATATATAATTACATATTGTTTTTGTGATTAATCACTATGCTTTAATTATGTTCAATTTGTAACAATGAAAATACATCCTGCATATCCGATATTTACATTACAATTCATAACAGTAGCAAAATTACAGTTATGAAGTAGCAACGAAAATAATTTTATGGCTGGGGGTCACCACAACATGAGGAACTGTATTAAAGGGTTGCATTAGGAAGGTTGAGAACCACTGCCCTAGATGATTCATGTGCACATTAAAGTTTAAGAAGTACTGCTGTAAGAAACTTTCAGCTCTAAAATTCAGTGAACTTAAGAATCTGTTTTATAGAAGTACTAGAGGCCCGGTGCACAGATTCGTGCACATTGAAAGGAAATTAATTAAAAGAAATATTTTAATATTGCTATTTTCCCTCTTTCTATAATAAAAGTGTCAACCAGATTCAGGATCGACAATGACAGATCAAAACACACGCGTGCGACTGGCGCCAGTGAGAACTTTGTATGTATCGCACATTCGCGAGTCAAACTTAGCCTTTTATATGTATAGATAAACTTGCTTAACACGTTAAGCGCCCAGTCAGTCATTGGTGACTGACACTATACTTTCTGTCAGAAAGATAAAACAGGCTGGGCACTTAACGTGTTAATTAGACCTGCTTTCTGATTTAGCTAAACTTTTTCCAGCCCAGTGAAGCACCCCAACTTCTCTTTCAGGTAATTGTCAGCAACACAACAGTAAATATCAACATGAAGCAGATTATTATTGTAGATCACACAGGGAGAACTAAGGGTAAAATATTTAATTGCAGCAGTTTTTGACTATATTCTGCCCAGTGAGAAAACCTGAAGTCATTTTCAAGTTCCACCATTTCTTATTTCTTTTCAGTCAGGTCAAGTTTCTAAACTTTCTAAATCTCTGTTTTCTGGCTAATGAAGAGGAAATAGGATTCTACCAAGTCTCCTATGTACCTACTCCAGGACTTCTGTGAGGATCAAATGAAATGAGGCACATGAAAACACTTTACAGACATTTGGTTACAGTGTGAAATGTTTGCACCTGGCTATAAAGCAAGTCGGGTTGCTGGGCTGAAGAAACGCCAAGAAGCTAGTCGCTAGGGAGAGGACACAAGGCATTGCTACGTGATGCCATTACTCAGTGCCCACAGCGACCGTTTCCGGGCTGGGCTGGGCTATGGGCCACATTTTGTGCCATGGGATCTTGGCAGCATTGGCTACGATTTGGTGGGGTGTCACTCCGGGGTGGTAGTGGGGCCTGTCCCACTTGGGGGAAGCCGAGTGTTGGTTTGTCAGAGCCAGGTCCATGGTGCCATTTATTTTTAAATGGCCAGTATGCGTCATGGCAGCTCCTGCGTTGAGCATCTCCCCCCTGGTGGTTAGTGCACGTCATAGCTACTGGTCAGATCGTCTGCCCCTTGGTGGTCATTGCGCATCATAGCTACCAGTAGGAGGTAAGGATGGACACTTAGCCTTTTATATATATATGTGGATATTCTAGAATATATTTCATAATCTTAACAAATGCCATATTATAGTTAAAATAAAATTTAAAAAATATTTTTACACATATTTGTTTCTAATTTTTGAAAACAGGCAAATGTTTACTTTTTAATTAAAAGAAGGGAAATATATTTACCTGTTTGTATACTTGCCGTAAGTACATGATTTCCTCCACAGTTCCCAAGGATATCAGCCTAAACACTTTGACATCTCTGCATTGCCCAATCCTATATGCTCTGCAAAAATATTAAAAACAAAAGCAAACAAAAATCAGGTGAAACAACTTTGGGTTCAGGCAATATCTTTTGGACATAAAAATGGAAGATTACTGAAATTTTAATTTAAAAAGAAACATTTTATGTTTATATATGCTATACTATTTAATAATAGTGCAAAATAGAAATTCATATAAAAAGCCCAGTCATGGAAAAGTATTACAGAAAAATGTACATATCAACTTTATTTCTGTTACAAATATTAGCTTTTATTGTCCAAAAATTTTTCTTAAATTCAGATTTTTCTTTTATTGTAATCTTAATCTTAAGCTTAAACTTAAGAATGTTCCCAAATCATTCCATTTATATAAAATTCTCAAAAATGCAAACTAATGATAGAAAGCAGATCACTGGCTGCTTGGGAATGGGGACTTGGGGAGGGGCAGGAGAGGGATTATAAAGTAGTGTGGACGAAAGGGGCCACATGCTAACCTGACAAGCTCAGGGGAGGCCTGCATGGTGGTCTTGCAAACTCAAAGACCTAAAGTAACCACAAAGGATGGTCTGAAATTTAACTAAAAGCAGTTATGGTGGGTAGTCACCTCCTGGCCCTGTATCTTCCCTGACAAGGTCGACCTTTACCTTAACTGAGCTTAATAACTTTTTGCATCTATGATAACATATCATTGAAATGTCAGGGTAACTTGTAACTTCCCTTTTTCCCGGACCCCTCAGGGTACAACCAAATGTCCTGGGCTCCAGGACAGAGACACAAATTCCTTCACTGTTATTGTTATCATGTTAATTGTTGACTATAAACTGTCCTGTACCCACCCACGTAAGGTGTCTATCATTTCACTTTTTATCCAATCCCAGTTTTTTCTGCCCCCCCTTTGCTTTCTCCTGCCTCCCTAATCTATAAAACAAGGTGAGAGACAGCCATTCTCTGGAGCATTATCCCAGCTGGCTAAGACTCTGCTCCCCGGCAGCTGTTGATAGCGTGGCTCAAATAAGCTCACAAACTTCTTCACAGGTTTGGGTGTTTTTGCATTAACAGCAGAAGGGAAATTTGTGTGTGGGGGGGTGATGTATAGTGACTATTTCTTAGTGTGGTGATGGCTTCATTTGTACGCATATATCAAAACTTATCAATTGTACACTTTAAACATGTGCAGTTTATTGTGTATTAATTATATCTCAATGAAACTGTTTTGTTTAAAGAAAAAAAACATCTGGGTAAAAGCAGTTAATCAACTGGTAAGGCTATGAAAGTGCAGATTGGTGGTCCTCATCCAGAGATTTCCCTGGGGGCTGTCTGCCTGAATCACTCAGTTGACTAGTACCCCAGTTGTTTTGGTAGGAACCACAGTGCTAATTAAAACTCTAACCTGACTCACAACACTGGTTAACTATGGTTCTAGTCCCTGCAGGTTCTCCCAGGTGGAGCTTTAACAGATGCTCTGAATGAGGTCATCTGCTCCTA